TGCAGCTTTGTGACTGGGGTAAACTGCAACCATCACGGTACTTGCAGCTTAGGACCACTACAGGTGGAAGGTGTTTGGGCCTGAGGATTGAATTGGTTTGGGCCCCTTGCATGCATGCAGGAAAGGATCCTTCAGTTGGTTCAGCAACCTTTTAAAATGCTTTTCCACACAGGTTTCTTCGCATAGCAGCCTTTTCTGCAAACCACACTAGGCCAGGCCAGAGTCCCACTTCTCCAAATTAAACCATTAGTTTGGCTGGTCCAGTTTTGCAAAATATGAATTTATGAAATGTATATCCACTAAATTTTAATTTTCATGCAAGAAAGACAGGCTCAATCATACCATGGCTAAAATAAAACTGTAAAGCTCTAGATGGAAGAACAGATACTGCATGCCTCTCTTTTTTGTGGGAGCAGATACTACATGTCTGCAGGCTAAACCAACGCTAGCAGAATCATCAATCCGAATGAAAATTGTCAAACCAATGGGTAGCGGAACTCACCTATATGCTGAGACGACAGCATCCTCTCCAACTGTAATGGCACAGTAGTGGCGCTGACTCGACTGCCCAGCAATATAAAAGCAGCTGAATTCAATACGATAGTAACTTCAGAATACCTCCATTAAAAGGTAAACTTTAGCATGAAACAACATAATAACAATAAAGCCAAACTGGAATTTATGTAACTGTTTATTTATGCCATGTAGCGGCACTATGTCAGTAAAACGAAGTTGAGAAGGCAAGTCACCTGAAGTTCTAACAGAGGAGGTGGCATTAGCCCAACAATTGCAGCATCAACACAAGAGCTGAACTTGCTTACGTTCCAAATCTGAAGAGGTATCTTTTCAAAAGAACTCGTGTCCTCACCATCTTCCTGTTCAAACTTATCTTTCCACATGCGCGATTTAACTTCTTGAAATGATTTTTGAAGCATGATCTGCAAGAAACAAATCACTGAACATAACAGAAATACCGATAGTTACAAAGCTAGCTTTTGAGCATTAAAATGTAGTGAGCACAAAGTGAACTATTGGACTATCAGGCACCTAGTATAATGTTTAATAGGTTCCCTCATAGAGGTATTCTGGAATTCCAGCAGAGCAAATCACCTCTGGAGGCTAGCAACTTTTAATGGCTGGTATTACCCATCCTAGTTCAAAATGAGCAAATTTGCAAGCTCCGGTTTTCTGGTTTCAGATCAGTTCTTGCATGATATGTGCTTACATAAGAACTATATGTCGCTTTGAAGGGATGGTTCCAATCTACTTTCCAAATTCTGCAGCAGAGAATCGAATTTTCCTTTGATCATTTAAGTTTTAATCAACTAATGCTGTATTTTACCTAATATCAGCATGCAGGCAAAATGGTAGAATCGAGAAGCAAGGTTGAACATAGGGCCGATAGCTGAATATAACTCAATAGGATGAAGAACTTTGAATATCTATTTGGGAACACATGAAAGTTCAGGAGATAGTTAGAATTATTCTTTTAAATACTCCCTCCGTCCCAAGATAAGTGTCTCAACTTTAGTACAACTTAGTACAAAGTTGTACCAAAGTTGAGACACTTATCTTGGGACGGAGGGAGTACTTCTTTGCAGTACACAAGGTTTCCCAAGATGATTAGGAAGTATTTTCTTCTACAAAATTGGTGATTATAGCTTCTGAATTACTCCCTCCTTCCATCTATATAGGGCCTAATGCGTTTTTCGAGGCTAACTTTGACCAAATGTTAACTTACACACAGCATACCGTCAAATTCGTATGTGAAAGGAGCTTCTAACGATATAATTTTCACATTATACATCTCATGTACTATTAATCTTGTCAATAGTCAAAGGCTGTCTTGAAAAACGCATTAGGCCCTATATCGATGGAAGGAGGGAGTAGCATTATCCATCACAATGCGACACCTCAAGTGTAATAGCAAAATAAAGCAAGATTATAGAAACCTGAAGGTCAGCACCATCACAACGTGCAATAACACCGGGAAAAACCACGGAAAGCTCATCTGAACCTGCATCTTCCCAAGCATTTTCCTTTCTCTCACTGAAGTTAAGCTTCAGTATTTTCGCAGGATATATACTCTGAAATACACATATATAAGGATCACAGTATTAGCTAAGAGATGAGGGAAGACCAACAAATGGAGGCAGGACCATATTTTTATGAATGGTAACTTTGTTCATACCACATCCACATTGCTCCTAAGAGAACAAATTGTAACTAAAAAGACTGTTGCCACACAATTATGTTACCTGTTCTTGTAAAATACTATGAGAAAGAAGATATAGAGTGTTTGGATCATTAGCTCATCTCGCTATCCACACAAAGCTACTCACTTCTGTTATTTGGTTAGCTAGCTAGTCTAACATGAGAATAATCAAGTGCCAATTTCTGCATCCACTAGCATTAAACTCTATTTTCCTCGTTCCTTGCCATCGGAGGAGAGTCAAGCCAAATTGGCTCTCCCTGGGGAGCAAGAATTTTCCAGCCCATACAGGCTAGTTCTGCTTGGCTGTATTTTATCTACAAAAGTACTCCCATAAACTAAAGTAGTGATCTAAACGCTCTTATATTTCTTTAGAGGGAGTACCAAACAACTCCTTGCCTAGCTAGGCTATTACTAATCTTACTTGCAACCAAACACACCTATAAACTGATCCTACCAACCACTTTATATTAGGATTGTGAAACTAAGAAATATGAACATTACCAACAGAAATATTGTCTGCAGTCTTTTGGTTAGGATACTTTTTTTTTGGTTGCATATTATCACTTCAAGAATAGCAAAGGAATTGCTTCCGCTTACATTCTAACAATGTCCAAAAGTGTTGCCTGACACAGTGACACCCTGATGAAATAAATATACACAAAACTAGTAATTTCTAGCAAAAATCCCATCTTTGCGCCTTATACCACCTACCTAGCCATGAACCTGATAAAAGCTCCCGAGGTTTCACGGAAATCTTGGCAATATGTCCTATCAGTAAGATTGCTGTTAGCTTCAGGAATGGCAAGGAAGCGCTAACAGCTACAAACTGACCTTATTCTAGCAAAATCTAGAAGCCCTAAAACAATTTACAAAATTCTCCGAAGAATAGTTACAGGTGCAGAAAGAGAAGAGCTCCATCTGCTACCTGCTTATGCAGGAGATCGCCGGCGAGCGAGTAGAAGAGGAGCCACCCGGCGTCGGTGCCCGCCACGAGGGCCATTCCCTCCTCCCCTTGCGCCCCCTCCGCGTCGAGCGGGACCCACTCGACGGCGGAGATCCGGCCGTCGTCGGGCCCCAGCGCGGGCTTCACCGTGACCCCGCCGCCGCCCGCGACTGGGACGATCCCCAGCACGGACCTCGCGGCGCTGGCCACGGCGAGGTCGCGCGCGCGGGGCCCGAGCGAGAGGAGCACCGCGGGGTCGTCCAGCCACCCCTCCCGCTCGCCGGCCCCCGCGGCCGCGAGGCACCCCGAGGCGGACGCGAGGAGGGCTACCTCGGTCAGGTGGTGGCCCCGCCGCGCCATGGCGGGGCGCGAGGAGGTCGCTTCTCGGGCCTACGGAAGCTTGGACGCCGGGCAAGAGATGTGCTGCAGCGGGCGGGTAGGAGGGACGTGCGCGTGAGATTTCGCGAGAGCGAGACCACCCTTCGGCCTTCGGCGGTGGGAAGCGCTCGGATGTCAGATCAGATGCTCCGTTTTGTGAATAGTAATTTTTCGGACAAGGGGAGAGGCGACTTGTAGCAGTGCGGGACACCCATCTCTGGTGCTTTTTCTTTGGGCTTTCAAAGTTTCAAATTTGATGAATTCACTACTGTATTGTACTCCGTATATTTCGAACCAATAACTCAGTTTACGTTTAATTTGAACACTCAGATTCCTTGTGACGAGAGATTTTGAAATAAAACCTCTTTTGAATATGTTATAATATGTAATCAGTTGTTTTTTAACTTTACTAAGTTTCACCTTCTAAAACTTCTTTTGCGAGAAAATTTTCGATCTAATCATCTTCAATCATGGCAGTACAACGAACACCAAAAATAATAAAAATTACATCCAGATCTATAGGCCACCTAGCGACGACTACAAAAACCGAAGCACATCGCCATCATCACCCATCGTTGGCCGGAGTCGGACACAACTTGTTGTAGTAGACAGTCGGAAAGTCGTTGTGCTAAGTCCCCATAGGACCAGTGCACCAGAACAGCAACCGCTGACAATGAAGAATAACGTAGGCAAATATGACTACGCCCTCGAAGGCTAGCGGATCACGATCTAAAGCTCCTGAAGATCCCAGCGCTTTGCTGGAGCGTTTGCATCTGGAAGAGGATGAGTTGGATAATCTAGTTTGGGAAGAAGAAGCGGATGAGCCAGATGAGAAACCAGAGTGGCTTGCGCTGGCTAGGGTTCTGACGAACAAGTCCTTTGGGCAAGGGGCGCTGATTGCCGACATGAAAGCGGCTTGGAACCCTGCTAAGGAGGTGGTGTGGAGAAGGATCAACCCGAATGTGTTTTCGGTACAGTTTAATTGTTTAGCGGATTGGAACAAGGCGCTCCACCAAGGCCCTTGGGATTTCAAGAACATGGCCCTGATTATGGATGAATATGATGGCTTCAAGAACCCATAATCAGTCAAGCTGGACAAAATTGAGACATGGTGTCAGATCCACTGACTCCCGAGTATGGTGCTCAAAAGAGAACTGTTTGTGAAGAACATGGCACATCGCATAGGGGAAGTAGTGAAGCTTCAGATCGTTCTACCTAATGGTTTCATTAGTGAGTTCATAAGGGTTAGAGTTAAGCTTGATGTCACTAAAAAACTGACGAGGTTTGTAGGCTTTACGAAGGCTGGAGAGACTGAATATTACCAAGTCAAGTTTGAAAAGCTCCATGTTTTCTGTTATATGTGTGGTTTGCTTGGACATTGGCATGAAGAATGTGGCTCAGGTGAACATGAGGCAAAAGATATGGAGTAGGGTCCTTTCATCCTTGCTGCTAGAAGGGGCGTTAATGCTAACCGGAGCATGGGTAGAGGATTTGGCCGCAATCTGGAGCGAGATGCAGGTTCTTTTGGTGGTGAGGACGATGGGAATACCTATGGCAGGGGCAGAGGAGCTGGTAGAGCACATGGCCGAGGCCGTGGTCATGAGTACTAGAACGTCGCTCCAACCAATGCGCAGAATTCAAAGATGCAGGCCCAGAGGCTTGAATCAATGAACACCACAGGACGGGGCCAATTCATGCAGAAGAGTTGGTGTTTCAATGCTATAAATGCCCTGTATGATCTTGGGGTTGAGCTGGCCATTGGTGTTGGTCAGGCACATTTTGGTCAGAATGATGATGCCCTTACTTTGGGTAAAAGAGTTGCAGATGATTCATGCACAACACAAACCACTTCTATTGAAGGGGACATAGACGCGAATGTGGGTGTTTGTTACCTCTTGAGCATGCGTTGGTTTTCCCTTGAAGAAAAAAGGGTGATGCAGCAAAGCAGCGTAAGTATTTTCCTCAGTTTTTGAGAACCAAGGTATCAATCCAGTAGGAGACCATGCGCGAGTCATCTCGTACCTACACAAATAAATAAGAACCTCGCAACCAACGCGATAAAGGGGTTGTCAATCCCTTCTCGACCACTTGCAAGATTGAGATCTGATAGAGATAATAATAATAAGATAAATGATGCGGAGCATCCTATGGACATCACCATGTCAAGAGTTCATTCGGCAAGTGACACGTGCGACATCTACTTCACATACATAAAGGTGAATCCTTTCCTTTACACGTGCTCACTTGACCCCTTCGAGGATGGTATACTACTTGACCCTCCATCGTGCATGCATAGGTATTGTCGGAGCTTCACGGATGACGAGGAGGAGTGCAAGCGCCAAGGATCACCTACACCATCCGCGAGGGAAGCCTGAAAGAGAAGACGCAAGAAGAAGAGTTGTCGAAGAAGCTCCAGCCACCGGACGACCGGTCGGGTCCGGACGTCCGGCGCCTGAAGATCCACCGAACGACCGGTCCAGACCGGACGACCGGTGTCCCTACAGCCGAGCCAAACGAGCGGACGTCCGACGCCACCGGACGACCGGTCCAGACCGAAAGTCCGCTACACCAGCATCCGAGCCAGATCGAGCGGACGACCGGCCCCTACCGGACGTCCGGCCGCCCACGAGCCACCGGATGACCGGTCCCCAGCGGACGTCCGGTACCTGGCTGTGTCCAGTTGCGGGCTGAGGCCCATGTACCCCTTCACTTTCCCCCCATTTGCACTAAGACTATAAATAGACCTCTTCCTCCTCCTTTCTAGGGCAGCGTTGTGTTAGCTCATTTGTGAGATAGAGCTTCGCTCATCCATATCGGATCTACTCCTTGAGAGAGACCGCGGCCCCTCTTCGGAGAAGATCCACCTTGGATTCAAGACCTCCTTGCGGAGAAGATCCCCTTGTGGATTCAAGACCTCCTCACGGAGAAGAACCGGCTACCCTTTGTATCGTCCGTTGTTGACTTTGGATCTTGTATCTCCCTTTGTGTTCATCGATCTAGCGCATGTGTGATCTATTTCTTGTTGGTTGAGTGTTTCTCTTGTGTTTCCCCTCGTTTTCCCCCTCGTGTTCTTCGTGTTCTTCGTGTTCCTCGTAGGGATCCGCTCCTTTCGTGAAAGATCGGCCATCTAGGGTTCCACCCTACATCAATAAATATTTTTGGTATTTTTATGATATAGATTGAAAGTAAAGTTGCAAAAAAATAGATTGGAAACTTATATGATGAAGAATAGACCCGGGGGCCATAGGTTTCACTAGTGGCTTCTCTCAAGATAGCATAAGTATTACGGTGGGTGAACAAATTACCGTCGAGTAATTGATAGAAAAGCGAATAATTATGAGAATATCTAGGCATGATCATGTATATAGGCATCACATCCGTGACAAGTAGACCGACTCCTGCCTGCATCTACTACTATTACTCCACACATCGACCGCTATCCAGCATGCATCTAGAGTATTAAGTTCATAAGAACAGGGTAACGCTTTAAGCAAGATGACATGATGTAGAGGGATAAACTCATGCAATATGATATAAACCCCGTCTTTTTATCATCGATGGCAACAATACAATACATGTAGTTTCCCTTTCTGTCACTGGGATCGAGCACCGCAAGATTGAACCCAAAACTAAGCACTTCTCCCATTGCAAGAAAGATCAATCTAGTAGGCCAAACCAAACTGATAATTCGAAGAGACTTGCAAAGATAACCAATCATACATAAAAGAATTCAAAGAAGATTCAAATATTGTTCATGTTGGAAATATGCCCTAGAGGCAATAATAAAAGCATTATTATTATATTTCTTTGTTCATGATAATTGTCTTTATTCATGCTATAATTGTGTTATCCGGAAATCGTAATACATGTGTGAATAACAGACACCAACATGTCCCTAGTAAGCCTCTAGTTGACTAGCTCGTTGATCAATAGATAGTCATGGTTTCCTGGCTATGGACATTGGATGTCATTGATAACGGGATCACATCATTAGGATAATGATGTGATGGACAAGACCCAATCCTAAACATAGCACAAGATCGTATAGTTCGTTTGCTAGAGTTTTTGCAATGTCAAAGTATCTCTTCCTTCGACCATGAGATCGTATAACTCCTGGATACCGTAGGAGTGCTTTGGGTGTATCAAACGTCACAACGTAACTGGGTGACTATAAAGGTGCACTACAGGTATCTCCGAAAGTATCTATTGTTTTATATGGATCGAGACTGGGATTTGTCACTCCGTATGACGGAGAGATATCACTGGGCCCACTCAGTAATGCATCATCATAATGAGCTCAAGGTGACCAAGTGTTTGGTCACGGATCATGCATTACGGTACGAGTAAAGTGACTTGCCGGTAACAAGATTAAACGAGGTATTGGGATACCGACGATCGAATCTCGGGCAAGTAACATATCGATTGACAAAGGGAATTGCATACGGGGTTGATTAAATCCTCGACATCGTGGTTCATCCGATGAGATCATCGTGGAGCATGTGGGAGCCAACATGGGTATCCAGATCCCGCTGTTGGTTATTGACCGGAGAGCGATCTCGGTCATGTCTACATGTCTCCCGAACCCGTAGGGTCTACACACTTAAGGTTCAGTTACGCTAGGGTTGTAGGGATATGTATATGCAGTAACCCGAATGTTGTTCGGAGTCCCGGATGAGATCCCGGACGTCACGAGGAGTTCCGGAATGGTCCGGAGGTAAAGATTTATATATGGGAAGTCCTGTTTCGGGCATCGGGACAAGTTTCGGGGTTATCGGTATTGTACCGGGACCACCAGAGGGGTCCCGGGGGCCCACCGGGTGGGGCCACCCATCCCCGGGGGCCACATGGGCTGTAGGGGGTGCGCCTTGGCTTACTTGGGCCAAGGGCACCAGCCCCACATAGGCCCATGCGCCTAGGGTTCAAGGGGGCAAGAGTCCTAGGAGGGTAAGGCACCTCCTAGGTGCCTTGGGGGGGAGGGAAAC